GTGATGAGGAGATAACTGAAGACAGGCTGAGGAATATTTTTGTTTTGTTTTCATTCATTTCATCCATTGCAGTAAACATCTGTGAGCACACAGTGCTCCTAGCATTATAAGGCATGATCTCTGTTTTCCAAGAGCTGCTCTCCAACTCACGTGGAGAAAGAGGAACGAGAGTTAAACAACACTGCAAGACAGGGTCTAAGCCAAAATGAGTAGGGGAGGCATTATGCATCACCAAGGAACTAGGAGAAGATAGAATTCATTGGGTCCTGAGCAGTCACTCTAAAGCTTGGCTAACAAAGACAAGGAGTGAAGTCCTGAGTCAGAATCCCAGTTCAGCTACTTGCTATATGTGTGATTTTAGGTAAGTTCTCCTCTCTGTGCCTGCATTTCTTCATCTGTAAAATGGGGATAACTGCATCTATTTCAAAGAGTTGTTGTGAGGATTAAATGTTGCTATGTATATGGAATATTTAATACAGTGATAGACCAATAATTGATTGTTTGTTAGGTGCCCCAGTTGGTTCCGACTCATAGCGACCCTGTGTACAACAAAACGAAACACTGCCTCGTCCGGCACCATCCTCACAATCATTATTATGTTGGAGCCTATTGTTGCAACCACTGTGTCAATCCATCTTGTTGAGGGTCTTCCTCTTTTTTGTTGACCCTCTACTTTACCAAGCATGCTATCATCCTCTAGGGACTGGTCCCTCCTGATAACATGTCCAAAGGATGTGAGACAAAGTCTCATCGTCCTCGTTTCTAAGGAGCATTCTTCCAAGATAGATTTGTTCATTGTTTGGGCAGTCCATGGTATATTCAATAATCTTCACGAACACCATAATTCAAAGGCATCAATTCTTCTTCAGTCTTCCTAATTCATTGTCCAGCTTCACAAGCATATGAGACACTGAAAATGCTATAGCTTGGGTCAGGCACACCTTAGTCCTCAAAATGATATCTTTGCTTTTTAACACTTTAAAGAGGTCTTCTGCAGCAGATTTGTCCAATGCAATATGTCATTTGATTTCTTGACTGCTGCTTCCATGGGCATTGATTGCGGATCCAAGTACAATGAAATCCTTGACAACTTCGATATTTTTTCCATTTATAATGATGTTGCTTCTTGGTCCAGTTGTGAGGATTTTTGTTTTCTTTATGTTGAGGTGTAATCCATGCTGAAGGCTGTAGTCTTTGATCTTCTTCAGTAGAACTTCAAGTCCTTTTCGCTTTCAGCAAGCAAGGTTGTGTCATCTGCATATCACAGGTTATTAATGAGTCTTCCTCCAGTCCTGATGCCCCGATCTTCTTCATATAGTCCAGTTTCTCTGATTATTTGATCAGCATACAGACTGAATGAATATGGTGAAAGGATACAACCCTGATGCACACCTTTCCTGATTTTAAACTACACAGTATTCCCTTGTTCTGTTCGAACAACTGCCTAGTGGTCTGTGTACAGGTTCCTCATGAGCTCAATTAAGTGTTCTGAAATTCCCACTGTTCGCAATGCCATCCATAATTTGTTATGATTCATACAGTTGAATGTCTTCGCATAGTCAAGAAAACACAGGTAAACATCTCTCTGGTTTCAGTTAAGATCCATCTGACATCAGCAATGATATCCCTCGTTCATGTTCTTTTCTAAATCTGGCTTGAATTTCTGGAAGTTCCCTCTTGATATACTGCTGGTAATACTATTCATTTTGTTACTACTATTATTACTAGTGCTTCATAATCTGGCTTCAAAATTTCCTTGCTGTACAATCTTAGTCAAATGATTTAAACTTACCATGCCTCAGCTTCCTAATCAGTAAAATGGGATAATAAGAGCACCTATATCATAGGGTTATTACTTGGGTTAAGTCAGGGTTAAATGTTAATGTTATATCATTGAATGAGTTAGATATTATGTAAAACATTTAGAATACTTTGTAACATGAAGTGTTGATAAACTTTGGTTACTATTATTACTGCACATTCTGTTTTACGTAACTGCATCCTTTAAGAATATCCACACAGAATACCAGCAGGAGAGCAAGAAGAGTGGGAGATTTCAAATTAGTTACCATTCTCTTTCGGTTGTCAGTGCCATGTGAGGAAAAAGGTTTCTGATATCTCCGCAAGGATCATTAGAGCTAATTAGATGAAATAAAACATCTTAAAAAGTTTCCTCACATTAGAATCTGCTGCCGGAGCATTTATTCTTCGGAAACTAGTAAAAAAAAATTCTCAAAAAATAAAACCAGTGAGAACAAAGCAGAATAAACTGAAATTCGAGCAAAAAGTCCTCTGCTGGTCATGAAGAAAATTGCAAGCATTCTACCTCACAGCAGTGTGGACAGGGTGGCCCTCCAGGCAGGGTAACCCACCATGTGGTTCTGTGTAGTTTGATCATATGGTTAGCAAACGAACAAAAAAAAAAAAAAAAAAAAAAGGGAATAAGATATACACTCTCTCTCCTGACAATAAAAATAAAATGACACAGAACCCTAGATCACTAGATTGTTGCAAAATTGTATTCGTCTCTAGAATCAGGTTAAGAGTAAATTTAGCAAATTTTATGAAAACAAAAACCATTCTGTAGCTGTTCCTTGCCTTTCTGCACACAGCATCACAAAACACAGAGCTTGGGTTTAAGAGTTCACAGGCTTCCACTCCACAAAGTACATGCTAACAAGGCAGCCCTCACTAGTCCCAGAGCATCGCTTCTGAGAAAGAACCAGAGGAAGCTGCTGGGATCACGCATGTCCCCCACGCAGGCTGCCTGATAAACCTGGTGCTCATTCGCATCCTAAACCAAGCCAACGACCAACGGCTGGTCATATCCTTGACCACTGCCCTGTGTGGCCCCGTCCACTGTAAGGGTCTTCCTCCTGCGAGTCAGGAAGACATTCAGCCATGGGGCCGGGGCTCCAGGAGGGTCTTCTCATTCCAGGGCTGGGCTGCGGCCAATTTCAGGGTCTAGAGAGGAAGACCCCCCGTGCCTCTCTGCCTTCATCCATACCCAAACAAGTCCACTGTGGCTAGAGCACACGTGCAAATGCAAATAAATATTAATGCCTGCAAGAAACAAGGAAAGGCGCCCACAGAGAGAAAGAGCGAGCCACAGGAGGAAAGACAAAGAAAGGAGAGGCCAGCCAGGACATGCTACACGATCTTAAAGAGAAGCTGCTCGTAGCCCAGGCCTGTCACCTGCTCACTGTTTGCTGAATTCAGTCACTCTCTGGAGAGTCCTGAGTACCTTGAGCTCGGGGGGCTGCCTTCTGGAAACCAGATCCAAGCCTCTCCAATCCTTTCATTTTTCCTATAATGTGGAAGCGACTGCAAGTCAGCCCCCTTAATACTTCTTACTCTCCAAATCTCCACAGAGCTGACTACCTTTCGCCTCCTCCTTGAAAAAATAATCCCATTTGTTTTCAAAAGGTTCTCCATGTGAAGATGTCTCCATTTTACCTTCCCTGCCAAGGGGCAGGGACAAAGGTACATCCAGAGAGGCACTAAATTTCACCGACTGCATTGCTTTAGCAGCTCATTTATGTTTTTGTCCTGAAGTAATCTGAAGTAACTGAATATCTGGGGCTCCCCTGAAATCCATTTATAAACCAGATACAGCCAATATATAGTCATAGGATATTTTAACCTTTGTTCAAAACAGTTTCTAAAGAGCTCAGGGGAGGAGGGATTTTGTGAACCAGTTGGTAACTAGGAAATCCCTGGGGCCTTGACGGTTGACTCCCCTAGGAAAAGGCAGTCACGGGTTTCAGGGCTACTTTAAGTCACACTCGTCCTTGGCAATTTCTTGGCAATTTAGCTATGTATTGCCAGTATCCCTCACCTCGACATTTTCCATCCTGTGGGTACTGCCTAGTGTACCATCCACAAGCAATCTTGTCTGAGAACAGCAGTTACCAGGAGCCAAAACACTGGACTCCAGCACAAAGATGGGAATGTTGCCCTGTGGTTAGTTCAACTGCCCAATTTGGAAAACTTTGTTTAAGAGGAAATAAATCACTGAGAGGCAGGGGGATAGCTCTTCCCAGGAATCTGTTTGTACTTAACTTCATGCTTACCCTCTTATAAAATCCCAGAGAGGAAAATTTCCCATGGGCAATCACTCCTTCTTTGTCATCGTTCTGTGAGTGGCGCAGTTTGGAGACACTAGAGACTGAGTTCGCTTTTCTGCAGGCAGGGTTATCAGGGAGGTGGAATCGCTCTACCTCACACAAAGCACAGTCAAGACTCTTCTCCTCCTCCTCCCCAAGTCCTGTAAACCTTAACCCCAGAAGCCAATCAGGACCCAACAAAGCACCAAAATCTAGCTTCCATTCAGTTGATGAGCTTTGCACTGTTGGACAGTAAGAAACGAGCAGTCAACCAGAGTGAATGCTATTTTCCAGGGACAAGTCAGCCTCGTCTCCGTAACTTCAGCATCAGAAATCCACTTTCAGAGACAAGAAAGCACCTCCTCTGCCCACCAGCTAATGGCATCCAGACTCCCCAGGAGAGCCCAGGCACAGCCAGATCCAGGACAGAACAATGGCTTGCCAGGCCTACAGAGGCCCAGGTTGGCAACGCACCATGGCATGTGCAGAGTGAGGGCATTTGGACCCAGCCAGACCTGTCCTTTGGGGCTCATTAACTTCTGAGAAGACTTTCCACGTGGAGCTCCAGCCAGGCGCCCAGCTACCACAGCCACCAGGCTCGCTGGCACAGACAGTGCTGGCCACTTCCCCACTCTCAGCGACTTTCTGGCCTTGCTGTCCCTCACCCTTACCAAGTCCCCAGAGCCAAGAAAGCCTGTTTTGGGATGAGTGGTTCTCGTATGAGTGCCACATTCCCGGGGCAAAGCACCAGCGCCTTCATGAGTCTTGAAGCCCTAGGGACCAGCAACCTCTGTGCCAGCCTGGCACGCTCCAGTTCACACGCCCGCACCCCTGCCCCCTCACCCCCCCCCCCATAAAGCATCCTTAATTCACAGACGAACGGCAGCTCCCTACCTGAGGGTGGCGCTCTCCCCTTGCCGGACCGTCACGTTGTCCATAGCTTTGGGGAAGGTGGCATCTCCGCTGCGCACCGGCACTCCTGTGGGTACAAGGAACAGCAGCCTGAGAGACACGATCACCAGGCACTTCCAGGGCAGGAACAGGTACCCACAGACCCCCATCCTCGACAAGATACAACTTCCCAGAACTCAGCGGCAGCAGAGCACACGCCCCAGCGAGCACAGGAAGTGGGGTGGGGTGGGGAGGAGAGGGACTGCGCGGAGAGCTAGTGGCGACCGCGAGGAGCAAGCAGGAGGAAAGCGCGTAAACGCCTCCAAGTCGAGTATTCCTCCCCCAAATCCAGCCTCAGCTCCCCAGCCTCGGCGAGCCAGTTTCCACGGAGGACATCCGAAGGAGCCGTTCGATGCTGCTCTGGCTGGGGAAGGTGCAGATCACGGAGAGCGGAAGGCAAGCGCAAAGGTGTGGGCACGTTTTAGGAGCCGGTTCTTCCCGTTAATAGTTGAGACATGGCACTTTGGAGAGGAGTAAGCACTTTGGTACCAAGAAGAGGAGAGGGGTGGGTTGAATTCAGCTGCCCAGACGTAGTCTGCGATTCTTCAGTGCCAACGAGGGCGAAAAACCGACACTTTCTTTGTAAGTTTTGGAGGCAGGCTCGCCGCCAGGAACAAATCGGTCACAATTGCAGAGAAAGTACACCACGCAGGAACCGCAGGGGAACGCGCGGAGGAAAGGGCGACGCTGAGCAGCGGCTGCCTGCAATTCGGTCCTAGATCCTGCCGCCGCTGCCTCGGCTACTTCCTGGACACCAGTGCACACTGGACACCAGGACGCACTCGGCACCCGTGCACACTTCACCGTCCAGGACTGCCAGACCTTCGCGAGGCTCGGCGCGGGCCCAGGCGAGCAGGGGCCGCGGGCTGTAGCCGACCTGCACGCGAGCCCCTGCGCTGCTCCTTCCCGGCTCCGAGGGCGAGACGCTAAGGCGACGGGCGGCCACGCCGGGGACGCCCAGCTTAGCGGCGGCCCCCGGGCTCAGCGCCGCCTTCCTCCCAGGAGCGTCCCCGCCTCGCACTGGCACCGACTTCCAGGGTTGTCATGGCAGCAGCTCCATCACTGACCACCACTCTCTTCGACGCGGACCCTGGAGCGCGCGCACCCAGCGCAGACCTAGCACCGGAACCTCCGCGCTCTCCGCGCACCGAGCTCCTGCTTAACCCCCGCCGCGCGGGAGCACAGCCAGGCCTTAACCATTTCCCTCCCTGGAAGAACTGTCACTTCCAAATTAAAACGCAGTTACCCCCACATTCTTAATCGACCTGAGACGACATAATAAGAGTCACAAACTAACTAGGAAAGGAACCCCCTGCAGCATGGACTTTTAAAATGATTCGGTAGATTCCATTAGCATTTAGAGTAAACTCAGGTGTTGGAAGGATACTTTATAACAATCACGTTTGTATTCAGTAGTGTGACACCCACCCTACCAGCCCCCAACAAAAGCTCCTTAAAACACCAGAGACTGAGCAGACACAGTTCTAAATAGAGATTGCATATATAAAACATGCAAAATCACAGAAACCTCTTAGAGTGTGAAACTGCAAAATCGCACTCAAGTTGTGGTTAAATTTCGAGACTGACTTACGTTCTTTATTCTTGAGTTTGATGACATGAAAAGATGCTAGCCCTGCAAGAGTGCCTACTGGGATGCATGAGTGTGAGTCACTTGCATTATTTCTACAGCGGACTCCCAAGTTTCCTGGGCTTCACTCTCTTGCACGGTTGATTTCATCTCTAAGCAGTGTGCTTGAATTTTTGAAACCCCGGGTAAACCAGATTTCTCTCCATCCCTGGTCCCTGCCACTTCCGCTCTCTGCTGCTGCAGTACGTCTGTACCTGCACGGTTACTTCTCCAAGAACTTTAATTCTGATGAAGGCAGTGCCTTCCCCTTCCTGGGCCTGGCCCCGGTGCAGGGGGAGCCCAGAGCAGCCCAGTCAGAGAGGTGGTGGTGTTATGGTAGCGGCTGTCTCCTCAGGGACTCCTGGATCTGAGCTTCCAGCACTGACCCAACTCTCCCTGTGGCTAGAGAGGAGGCAACTGACTTTGTTCTTCCCCTTAGACTTTCTATGGAATTCCATCAGGGAACATCCACCCCACCCCCGCGCCCCCATAACTATTATGGACAAAGATTCTTCCCCAGTGCCATCCAGCACCAAAGAGACTGACCCAAAAGGGTAGATGCTATGGAAGTCCTTGTGCCTTGCTGGCAGTGACAATCACATACATGTAGCCAACATGTTAGAACAAACATTTCTACCCCTTTCGTGCCCCCCTCACATTATTTCTTTAGACAGGTAGAATGGAGGTAGGCTTTGGCATATGGAAACCAACTCTAGGGTAACAAAGGCTGATGAGGTCTCCTTTCCACTTTAGTGGTTGATCAGAATGTGGTCAACCATGAAAAGCTGAGCAAGTTTACACTAAAGATCTCAAAACACTTTGCATCAATTATCAGTACGCTGGTTTCCCTCATCTCTTCCTGATATTAAATGCTCAGTGAAACCCATCCACTACTTTTGGCCACTAGGGATCATTTGATACATAGCACCAAAAAAAATCAATGGCCCAAACAAACAACTTCACAATAAAAAAAAAAAAAGATATCTATGGGGAGCAGGAGAGTTTTGTTTATATTTTTTAGAGGAAAGGAGAAGAAATAACTCATTTTTCCACCATTCTATTCTCACCAGACCCTATGTTATCTCTGCTTGACAATGGAGAGATTGCAGACTAGGAAGTCAAACGACTCCACAAAGTTAAGATGCTGTGCGAGAGCAGACGTAAGGCTTGAGATTATGTTTGCTGACTTTCAGCCTGCTGAATTTGGGGTTCCTCTTTCCCAAAAGCCAAGGAGAAATATATGCTAGTCGAGGGGAGGGGGAGAAGGACTCATTCTGGCGGTTGGAATCATTTTCCTGCAGTCCTGAGAGTGGCAGGGATGATTCCTTCCATGCTAATTCTAATTCTGGCCCCTGCATTTAATTCCCAGGTAGGTGCGAATGAGCATTTGCTTTCGCATCTAGGAGTGTGGATAATGACAACAGGCCTTCCCGAGAGGCTTACGTACTTGATACAGTGAAATACTTAGAAACCCATGTAAGAAGGAAGATGCTTTATTAATACATTTCGCCTGCCACCACTTCGTTGTTATGGCTGGGCAGAAAAATAATTCTCCTTACAGGTTCTTTAAGATGTTCAGTTTTTACCAGTCTGCCTGCATTTGCTGTTTAAGACAGTCAAAGCATCTTCGTCTCTGGCCTTGAAGAGAGGAAGCTGAACTGTAGCATCACAGCAGTTGCCAGCACAAAACCTAGCAGAGCACAGGCTACTGAGAGAGTGGAGAAGAAAAACCGCTAGCAACCTTGCACTTGCTTTGTGGGCCCAGGGATCCAAACTTCATTCAAAAATGAAAGTTTAGAAAGTTGTCAAGGTCAGAGATGCCCACACAATTAACAGATGCCATGCATCCTATTCAAACTTGCTAGTGAAGTAGCTGAATAGATGAAGATCAGAATCACGTCAACTCCCTTCCCATCCTCTAATCCCTAAATATAACCAACACGTAGTGGCTTATCTTATAGCCTGTCTCTTGCTTCATAAAAACTTCTGGGTTTATTTTATTTTTCCCAGCATAGCTGAGTTAATGAAAAAGGGATGACAGTCAGAGCAATTTCATTATTTGTGTTCTTTATAGAAACAACTTCCTTTCCGCCTCCTGGAAGGCTGATTCCTAATGAGCACCCACCTCCATCTTCTCCTCCCTATCTCCCTCTCCTTCCTCCCTTCCCTCTTGCATACACATATACTGTACACATAAATCAACTTGTCACAGCTTGTCTCTGTGCTGACAGCTGTAATTGCTTCAGGTTATAAAAATATCTAAGGAACAATGACTTTCAAGCTCTCTCACACACACATACACACACTCCCTAAACAAAACAAAACAAAACAATCATAGCCCCTTTAATAATCCTGGGGCTGCAAAGGAGAGGGAGCAGGAGCTTGGCATGAAGACAGGACATGCGGGCAGGCAAGTGAGGAAACAAGTGGAAAGAGACTTCTGGCAGTGGTGGCATCTCCCGCTACAGCAGGGCAGGAACAGGGAACATTCTCGGGGAAAGGGAAATCAGCTGTTGTCCTTGTTTGCCTCTCTGTTACCTACAGCTAAAGAGCCGTGCATATTCCACACACGCAAGCCTGAAAGAAAAGCTCTAGCTTGAGAAATGCCAGCTCTGCTTTGACTTCTCTAAAAGGCTAAAGGCCCCCCTCTCCTGGTGGAGATTCCGTATAGGAGCCAAGGCAAGAGAATGAGAAATGCAGGACCTGAGAGAAGGGCCTGACACCGGTAAGGGAAGATGAATCAGAGAAGGAGGGCTGGGTGTGAATCCGGATGAAGAGATGCCTCTAGAGGAATAGGGGAGGGCTGGGCTCTGGAGAAAACACACGCTATTTTTTGCTCCCATATGAATATAGGATTAAAAAAATAATCAGTCTTCATCTGGGCTATAGTCCAGCATGTTCGGATTTCAGGAGGAAGAGCAAGAGGGTGACCTGAAGATGGGGGAAGAGGGCCTCAGGGAGAGAGAAGAGAATCACAAAGGAGGATATGAAGAAATGGCAAAGGTTAGCACATCTGTGGACTTTGAAATCCTCAGAACTTTATAAGAAGCGAATAAAGGAGAGAGATGCTCGGCAGAACAAAAGATAGGTAGACAGAAAGCAAAGTTGCAGCAGGAGGAATGAGCCAGCACCAAAGGGCCAATGAAGCAGAAGACAGGTAAATAAAGCTGACAAATACCAAGAGCCAGAGGCGTTTAGGGAAGAATCTCTTCTTATCTGGGTTTTGGGTCCCAATAGAACCCTAGACTCACTGAATCTCAGAATGATACCTTCAGAAGAGACCTTGGGTCATAAAGCTAATAAGCCCTGGTGGCACAGTGGTTAAGAGCTTGGCTGCTAACCAAAAGGTCAGCAGTTCAAATCCACCAGCTACTCCTTGGAATCCCTACAGGGCAGTTCTA